ACTTAAAAGCTTTCTGTTTGCTATTATAGGTATTTCTTCTATTGAGCTAAACTGGAAAAAAATGTGAAATCTAATGGTTTCCAACCAGCATTTACAGATTTGCAAACGTGTGAGAGTTGCATATTCTTTTTGAATGCAGATTTTCTCCTTAAATGTATGTGTTGTAAAGCCTTGAAAATAAGTATGACACTGTATCCAAATAACATTTAGGTAGAGAATGTTTGTTTTACAGCTTAAATCCTTGTCTATACCTTTTCTTTTCTGCATGCATAACCAATTTTAGCATGTGTTCGTAAAATGTGAAATCCATTATGAGCTCCAGAGAGCCAAAAGTATCTTCCTTTTCACAGCATGGAAAACAGCAGCGTACACCTCTCCATATTGGTGCCTTTTTTCACTTGTAGAAACAGCATCTGCAAAAAGCTGCAAGTTCCTTTTCTTTCAGAACTTGACCTCTCCACCATGGCCATCTCTCAACTGGCAACCTGTGCGGGGGCACTCGCGCAGAATAATTGTGCGCAGACCACCTGATAGCCATGAGACAGGGACGACTGAGCCAGGCTGTGCATGTGACTAACAAGCAAAATGCATCACAGTCCACTGCTAATCCCTTGAGCCTTCCAGTTGTTCATCATACGCTGCTGCTCTGTACATCTTCAAGAGAGTCAAGGTGAGGTTTCCACGTGCAGATCTAAATGAAGGGATCCCCTGCGTTACGTGTCCACATGTGTCTTCAAATGTACTCTCCCACTTTTCTCAATATGCCGTGCCTCAAATTTGTTTATTTATTTGGAGAGGATGTTTATGTGGGTACTGCTTGGAAATCACCAAACCTAGTATATACGAGAGCCAGCTTGGTATGACTGCTGCCTCTTTTAAGGAAAACTTTAATTTTTCCATTTACAAATTTTCTCAGGCTTTGGAGTTCTGAGTTAATTTTTTTAACTTTTCAAAGAAGACTTCTGCAAATATTGTATTTCCAGTAAAAACAGAATTTTTCTACGCAAAACAAATGAGAACGTTGCTTGGTTTCTACTGACCAAATCTGTATAATTTATTAGATTTCAAAAATATGTAGACCAATGCCAAAGAAAATTATTATAGCTTGTAAATTCAGGCTAACAACTGCTATCCATAATCATAACATAATTTCATTTTACATGTGTACAAGTCCTGGACTGTGGGGAAGAAAAGCTCTTCAAAACACTGAAAGCATCACAATAAGGATACACTGTACCTGCTAGAGCCTCGATGACATAAGGTCCATAAGAGGTATCACTCACTGGGGAACCAAGGGGCAGTGATAAAGGGTCTGGTATCACACTCTTCAGAAGGGTACAAATCCTTCATTCTGCACTGGTCAGCTCCAGGAGCCCCAAACTTGTGCTCTCGCATTCATGCTTGCGCTCGCTCTTCATGCTTTAGAGTTTGTTCAAAGCCAATATTGTATCGGACAATGTCAGTAGAAAATGCCCTTCAAGAGCATAGAAAATGCAGAGGGAGATCCATATAATCAAAAGAACTACAGACTGTATAATACACATTTAGCCTCTATGTCTACTGTGTACATCACCGTGCACATTTATTTTATTTTTCTGCTACTGCCAGAAACAAGAGCAACTAACGGTGATAGAGACAAGCCCAATTAAGTTCAGTCTCACATTCTACTTTTCATACACAGAAACAGAAATGAGTTGGTCAAGGGATAAAGAAAAAACAACGACAAGACAAGTTCTTTAACAATATCTAGGCATCACTAAAAATGTAGATGTAAACACTGAGGAGAAAAACAGCCTTTGTTAAGTATTTGCCATTTTGTAGCTAATTTTGAAAAATTGCATCTAAAATTATATAACATATTAAATAAAGGAATACAAGACTTCAGTTGTAATGACTGACATATTACATGAAACACTGACAACACAGGTCAAGATTTACATTTTTTTTGACAGATTTTTTAAAATGTCAACTCACAAAGCAAGTGTGGAGCACAAAAGTCCTAAAACCTCAGCAATCATTTTTAGTACATGATTAAGAGTAGTGTTCTATTCATATACAGTTACATAAATTAGATATGGAATTTTAAGGGGAAATGTTGATCATTCTGTTAGCAGTTTGCATATTCTTGATTTACAGTATCTTGACTTTCTTATCTCCAAGAAAAAAATTGTAATGAAATTTCATACCAGAAATTGTTAAACTGTTTATATCATGTTTTTAAATTTCAACCTTAAATTGAATGAGTTAAGAAGGGAAAAACAACCAAGCAAACCACATCCTAAACACCTCTATGTAGCCATTAAAAAGTGTTACATAATAAAGTCAAGATGACAATCACAGACAAATCCATGGAATACAATGTTGTGCTTAGAATATAGCAGGGAGAAAAAATGAAACTTTTTGCAATTCCTTGCAATAACACATGGACACGAGTGTTAGCACAGTAACTCTGAATTATTCACATATATATGTGAATTATTCAATAAGAAGCCACAGAAAGTAGACATGAGAAAGATTCCTTTTGGTTTTCTCTCTGGGACCACTTTTTATGTAGCTCATGAGATGATGCTGGATAACTCAGCTCCACTGCAACCTGTGGAGCAGCAGAAGAGGCAGCACAGGGAAGGAAAGGTCCTAACATGCAGAAAACTTCTTCAATCCCACAGTAGGAGGAGCTACTTCTAAAATTGCTTTTGCTAGCAGGTCCAATAGAGTCAACACAGCATATGTAAGAATTCACATTTTTCACCGGCAGCCTCAGCAGCCTTTCCCAAGTCACCATGCAGCACAAAGCATGTGCTTGATAAAAGCAAAGTTTAAGACATTTCCAGCTGTTACTTCAGTTACCCTTTATACCCTAAATACTAGAAAAGTGTTTTGCAATAACTAGTTACTTCTTGCACACAGAGAATTCCCTCCAATTCCCCATTTTATCATGTAATGAATGCAGGATCAGCCCTTGAAAGTTCTTCTTCACCAGAGCCTTGGAAACCCTTACAAGTGGAAAAAACAGGATCTAAAAAGAGACATATATCTCCCCCTACCTGCAGAGTCCTTTATCCTCCCGCCCCAGGGAATGACGTTCAGAGAACTACTTCAGGTCTCAAAGATGAAATAAACTCAAGTCTTACAACCTGACAAAGCAATAGTATGTGAAAGTATTCAGACTGGAAGTGTTGGAACCCCTCCATGATGCCTGTTACTTACCAAACTGGCACATTTAGACTAAGAGGTTTTAAAGACAATTGTGATATGCCTTTCTATACCAGTTAAGAAATCACTGATTGCTTTAACTCTTCTCCCACTAATGAATTATCTGATCAACAATACCCACCAAGACACCACATGAAAGAAGTCTGTGTACAAGTCTGTAACTTTTCATTCTCTCAAGGAAAGAAGCACGAGGTAATAACTTGTAGAATTTTCTTTTTCATCCAGATCCCTGACAACCCCTGTAGATTTGACTCATTCCATGAAGAAGAAAATGCTAAATACTCAAAAAAACCAAAGGTAAGTCTTAACTACTCACCCTTTCTTGAAAATTGTCTTTTACTGTTGGAGGAACTGGTATCTTATTAATCACAAATTCATTACAGCTGTGTCATCATACCTGGCTGACACCTCTCTAAGAAAGTTTAGGTTTGGTTTGAAAAAAAATAAAAATTGCCTATAGAGAAGTAGTACTGCCTGGTAGGATTCCTGATGCTTAAAGTTGACTTAAAAGCTTTTATTCCTTAACCCTAGCAACCACTCCTTCCATACATAGGCCAAGTTCACTGTAATAGTTTAACTTCCAACTGGAATGAGGAGGTTCATTTAGGCAATCCAAACTACACAACAAAAAAGTACCTTAACTTTTCAAGCTCTAACTTTGTTTCTAGTTTCCCTAAATGCTGGGCCCTTCGTACAGCAGGGTTATGTGCTGTATCAAGTGTGTTTAGGGGGGAGGGGACAGGAGAAAGGGGGAGACAGCTCACCAGCTCACTGTATGTCAAAGCAAGCCAGCAACCTAGCAACCATATATTAAAAGGTGTGTGTGTTTTTGTGGGTGTCTGTGTGCCAGGAATAACTGAAGCAGATATTATTCCGTTTGTAATTCAAAAAATGTGAAAAGGGAAGGGGAGAAACTCCAGCTGCCGGTCTATTTTGGGGTCTGTCAAAATCCACTTTCACAATACAGAGTCTTAACACTTTCTATCCCATTTGTCTTAATCAAAAACTAAAGTGTGGACCTGAGCAAGTCTTAGCTTTGGTTTGAAAAGAGACCCTTCAAAGCAGGAGCTGAACTTCCTTCACATACCACGCTTTCTTCCAGCTGAGAATATATAAAAATCGAAGAGGCAGTGAGGTTGCTTCAAAGACTTCACACTTAGGTTAAGAGAATACTGATCTAGTGTGTTATGAATGTACTGAATACCTCTAGATAGCCACGTTTAATTTAACAAACAGAAGCATCAAAGATTGTCAGCTAGCTTTAAAAATATTTACTTGAGTGGTAAAATTGAAAAGGTAAATTTCTCAAAGTTTCTCATTCCACGAGGGAACTGAGAATTTAGATCAGCAAAGGCAAGCTCCTACCCCACCACCATATGCGGTCCCGGGGGTGCAGATAAACTTCTGATCCACACCGTACCACTACACCAGCATGTGCCTCACTGAGAGTGAGGGAACACCAGGTGCAACTTTCGTGCCACCAGATGAAAACGAATGAGTCCCTATGTGGAACAGAATGGGGGGAACAGGGACACGCCTCAAGACTGCACCCAGCACCTCACACCCTCCAGTCACACTCCCCACGGCTCCCAACAGCTCATGGCAACCGTACCACAAGAGCAGACAGCACACTGCCATCCAACGATAGCCCTTTGGCGTCCACTCCAGTGCCACCTCGCCTAGGTGTCCTGGTCTACAAGGCTGGGCTCCTACTACTACTCCTCCTCACCAACAACACCGCACCAAACCATCACCGGCAGCAGAAGGGGAAAGGGAGGGGGAGTTACCTTGTTTTTGACCCCGCAGTGGCAGCAGACAGTCCACAGGTACTTGAGGGTCCTCCACAGCAGGATGATAAATAGTCCCCCAAAGAAAGTAACCATGGATGAGGCGAGGAAAGCCCACCACATGCGCTGTCCGCGGCTATCGCAGGGCACCTCCATGGTCACCGGGATGATGAGCGCATCCATCTTGGGCACATTGACGGGGGAGGAGGACGAGTCTGTGTTGAGATTGTTGGCGTTGATATTGTTACTCATTCTAATGCCGCCGCCGCCGCCGCTGCCGCCCGGGTAGGAGCCGCCGCCGCTGCCATTTGCCATAGCTAACAGCGAGCCGGGCGCGCAGGGGCTTCCGAGAGCTCCTCCCGCCGCCAGCGCCCCCC